AGTTATTTTTTTGTGTTCTATTCTTTAGCTTAGAGCTAGTTCTATTGTTGTTTTAATAAAGGAACTGTCAAACTTTGGTTTTTCTTTAGCTCCAGATTTAGTTTTAGTGATCGATAGAGAGAGTTTTTCGTAACAATTAAATAATAATATTTCATTTTTTATATTACCTTTTTTGTTATATTAATTGATGATCCGCCAGTCACCTGATGCATGATCATAGTGTAACGTGATGCAGATCACTATGTAAATTACATAAACAGGAAATGTGGAGATTTTTTAACAATTATTCAAAGAAAACTTTTTTTCGTACTAAGTTAATCGACAAGATCAATTAATTGAAAGTTGTAGATCTCGCTGAGGCACATCTAATGGTAGTTAAATCATCAAAATTGGCCTAGTGGTTCGCGAGATATCACTAAAAAACGATTGGCCGACTATATAAAATCTCTATGTAAACAAACTATTGTTTATATAGTTGGTCAATCGTTTTTTAGTGATATCTCGCGAACCACTGGGCCGATTTTGATGATTTAACTACCATTAGATGCATCTCAGCGAGCTCTACAACTTTCAATTAATCGACCTTGTCGATTAACTTAGTACGAAAGGTTTCTTTGAATAATTGTTAAAAAATCTCCACATTTTCTGCTTATGTAATTTACATAGTAATTTGCATCACGTTACACTATGATCATGCATCAGGTGACTGGCAGATCATCAATTAAATTCTTTTTTTTCATATTTTGCTTTTTTTAATTTGCCTTTTATATTAAATAATAATATTCTGCTTCTTTTCTTTTATCTTACCCATATAAATTTTTCTCTCTTTTCTTTTTTTTTTTAATTTATCTTTTCCATATCAAATAATATCTGTTTTTTTTCTTTTCTATATTTTTTATTTTTTTAACATTAGATTCTTTTCTTATTTTCTTTTTTCTTTTTTTAATTCATTTTTTTCCAATATACAAACTAGCTCAAACACTCTAAACTATATTTATAAATCACCTACAAACCTATATCAAAGGTTTTGTAATGCCTATACATATAATCAAATAGTAATTACTAAAAATCCAAAATATAAGAAGGAGTTATTGTGTAATAAGTATAATAATAAGTAGAAAAAAAATAAAAACAAACTGATACACAAAATCAGAAACATCAACAAAATTCTTACTTCTGTGATATCTATTGTTCAAGACTCCAACATTAGTGTTACCAACCTAAATACTATTACTTATATTGACTTCAACACTAGTGCTACTAACCTCAATACCGCTACTCATATCTTTAATGTTACTAACATTAATGCTACTCATAATCTTAATGTAGCTAATACTGCTAACACCAATATTCTAACTACTTAAACCCTTAATCTTGCTAACACTAATATCATTCAGCCTTCTTATAGCCTCAGTGTTATCAATATCAACATCATAAAGTCTGCCTATAGCCTTGGTGTTGCCCAAAATAATATAGGAACTTGAAACACTCTAAACTGTATTTATAAATCACCTATTAACTTGTATCAAAGATTTTGTAATGCCTATGTGTATAATCGAATAGTAATTATTAAAAATCCAAAATATAAGAAGGAGTTATTGTATAATGAGTGTAATAATAAGTGGAAAAAAATTAAAAACAAACCAATACACAAAATCGAGAACATTATTGACATTCTTACTCCTATAATACCTATTATCCAAAACTCCAACACTAGTACTGCCAACCTCAATACTACTACTCATATCCTTAATGCTATCAATATCAATACTACTCATAACCTTAATGCAGTTAATACTGCTAATACCAATATTCTAACCACTAATAGCTTTACTCATAACCTTAATGCAGCCAATACCGCTAACACTAACACTCTAACTACTTATAATTTTAATGCTGCCAACATCAACACTATTCATAACTTTAATGTAGCCAATACTGCTAGCACCAACATCCTGACCACTTATAGCCTTAATCTTGCTGACACCAATATTATTCAACCTCCTCATAGCCTCAATACTACTAATATTGACACCATTTAGCCAACCCATAACCTCAGTACTGCTCCTGTCATACTGTCACAAATAATTAAAGAAATCATTGCTTCTGATTCACCTTCACCAAACACAGCAGTACAAAAGCGAGCTGTAAAAATTATTAATGATACAAATAAAAAAATCACCAAATGTCAAAAAGTCTATAACTTAATGAATAGCTTAGAGTCTCAAATCAACTTGATAAATGATATACAAAATTACAAACAAGTTATCTATGCAGAAAATAAGAGAATTAGCTATCTACAAAAGCAAGCAGAGTATAAACATAATAGTCTAGAAAAAAGGTTATTATTAATATTAATAATAATATTTAATTTAAATTTAAATTCAAATTCTAATATTTACTATTTTAGTTTTTATTAGATATAAACTTTTAGAAAAAAATCAGGTAGTTATTAAGTATAATAAACCTGGTCACCTATCTTTCTTACAAAAGCATCCCGATTTACTTGATCAAATCTATAAAAGCATTGAGTTTGGGGCTGCAGATGAAAAAAGAAAAAGTGAAATGATAAAAGTTAGAACAGTTGGCCATCTTGCAAAAAAACTTAGTAATATATATGGTGAATATATATCTAGAACAACTGTAAATAATTATCTCTTGCTATCTCATTCAACCTTGATAGCAGCCAAGGCCCATCATTATTCTGCAAATATCGCAGTCTTATCAGTTTCTAGAACTGATAAAACTGAGCACCCAGATGAATATTATTGTCTTGCCTCCATAAAGGTGGCAACACTATTTGCATTATTATTTTCAAATTTTTCAGTCATCATTTTACAGGATAATAAGGCCAAAGTCTTTCTTGGCATCCCAGCAGTCAGTAGAACTTTCAAAGCCATACAAACAATTAGAGAACTTGTGACAGTCTCTGATCACGATTTCCTAGTAAAAAACTAATTTTATCAATATATTTGTTAATGAACCCTAATGATACAAGTACTAAGCTTCAAAACAGCCAACTCTCAATCTTCATTCACCCCCAATATAGAGTTGGTACAAGTTCTACAACCCACATATACAACTTAAATTCGTTAGTAGAAAATAGCTGCCTGGATAGTATACTAAAAATTAAAAATAAAATTAAACCCATCTGGGTCCTCCTTGTTGATAGAAGCCTAGATGAAAATCCCAGGCACATAAAAAATATTATCCAATACTCAACAATGTTTTGAATATTTAACCTGGACTATTTAACTGTTTGGATGTATGCTTTGGATTAGTGTTTATATAATTATATTTTTGACTAAAATAGTAATTCTAAATAAAATTTTGGTTCCTATAGAGTGCATTTGGAGAAATCTGTTTGTAATTAATTTTGTATGGTTTTAATTACTGCAACTAGTTATCTAAATATTAGTTAATTCTATTAATTATTCCAGATCAATCCAAATATAACACTGTAGAACGAGGTATGGCATCATTATTCCAAAAACTTTGTAGATGCAGTGTTGCTAGTAGATACCTATGGCTTTCACTTAAACTCTTAAGGCCAAGTTATTGATAAGGAACTTGCAAAAAAAAATTTCAGATATGTAGGAGAGTTGTTGTATAATCTTTGGAACTAGAACCTGTTATTTGAAAAGCTAGTTATAATGAAGTATGTTGAAACCAACAGCTTTCTATTCTCCATCAATTTTCCAGAATCCAATGATAAAACTACTGTACCCTGGGAGTGGCTAGAAGTTTATGCCAAAATATGCAACTATTCTTTAGATATAAGAAAATACAAAAACACTTCATGTTGCTCTCCAGTGCAATATAAAGACGTTGCTAATTTTCTCGAGGAAATTAACGGGTTTCTCTCTCTAGTAATAATGGGTATAGATAGATACTATATCAATTTCATATATTTGTTGAAATTTTTAAACAAAGATAAGATACCAGGCTATAATGCCAATTGTCCCTCAATCGGCAAAGACAATTATGCACAACTTTGTTGTATGGAATGTAACAAATATTTTTCAACAGTATCAATGGTCACCACTTATAGAAGAAGTCAGCATCTCAAAAAACATGGACAACCTAAAAACCTGGTATCAGAGCCAACAAACATTGCTTAGGATAATGATAACAAAGAAGAAGCCTGTTCAAAGAAACATAGAAGATCACGAAAGCTACTAGAAAATAATAAATAAGAAAAAATTGAAAAAGCAATTGTTAAGAAAAAAAATAATAATAATAAAAAGAATATTGCTAACTTGCCCCTAGTTAAATCACCAAGGTGCTATATCTCAAAAACATATTAAATAATTAAAATTTGGACCTTTAAATCAAATTTTTATTATGTTATATAAATTTCTATTTTATATGTATTAAAATTGCACCTTGATTCTAAAAATTTGAGGTAATTTATATCATTAAAATTAGTTATTTTCTAAACACAAAACCTATAAAAAAAAAAGTAATTATATATAACGATTTTTTGTGAAATGATAAATCGAAATTATCATAAAATAAATTCTCATTAGCACATCTACAAAAAATTATATTCCTGTAATTTTGACAAAAAATAGATATAATGCCCGAGTGGTGTAGTAACTAATGTTATACTATAGTACAGAAATGCCCTTTATAAGTTGCATACTTTTTCTAAATACATGCTCAAGTTCTGGCCCAAATATATGCTTTGAGTTCTTAACTTCAAAAATCGTCTAGTAGAAGTTGTAGTTACTTCACTTGACTCTAAATTTCATAATAAAAATTGTTTGTCATATTTTCTTGTTCCTGTGATTTCATGTATTTGCATTTATAATTTTTGAGTAAAAATAAAAAGAGAAAGTGTTGATTAGTAATCAAAACCCTTATAAAGAAAAAAATTAAACTTTGATCGAATTTCGTCATATTACTATTGTTTGACGTTTATGCTGATTAAATTGAATTAACGTAATTACATACTACATGACCTGAAATAAGAATACTCAAAATGGTATAAATTCATAGACAGAAATTCATCTGATTGACTGATGTAGATTAATTGCCTGGGTAACTTATTTATATACTTTAAAGTACTTTTTGAGGAATGCAACATTTCACTAATATGAAAAAAATTTTTTTATATAATTTGCTTTGTTTTAGTGCTAGAAGACCACCTTTAAAAATAATCTTAAATAATTTTAAATTTAAGTGGTGTTAGCTTAGATGCGACTTTCTGAATTAGGTAAAGAAAAAAAAGGGTTTGTTTAAATTTTAATATGCACTAAAAAAATAGTTACTAACAAATAGCAAGTTTTTTTTAGAGATCAGAATCAGATTTGGTTTTTGAAGTGGAATAAGCTTGTTAGTGGTATTAGTAATATGAAATTTAAGATTAAAGCACTCTTAAGTTGGGTTGGTTTTTAAGTTTGAATTTATAGATTATAAATATAAGCTTGGGTTCTTAGATAGTTCTGTAGTTAGATTTAGTAAATTCTGGTTGTTTTAGTAGTTAAACACCGCTTTTACTTCTCTTTATATATATTCGCTTATCTTTTACATATATATTATCAATATTTTTACCAATTCTTATAAACTTTTTTCTTGAAGTTTTTGTTTTTAGTTTGTAATATTATAAAATAACAAATAAAAATTATGTATGTGTAGATTTGCGAATTGATCTAAAAAACTAGCCAATTAGACAAACTTCTGTCTATAAGGTATAAATACCAGTTAGTACTGCTTTATTAATATCTTCTTTCTCTTTTGTAGGCTTTATGTTTTATCGACGACAAAGGTAAATGGAAGTCGAGATTGAGATCTGAACCCCAGGTGGTTTGGAACTAATATAAATAAGTACCAGTTAATATGTTTTTTTTTTTTTGCTGCTTTTTTGTATTTTATTTAATACCTTTTTTCTCTTTTGTGGGTTTTATATTTCGTCGACAACGAAGGTAAATGGAAGTTGGGATTGAAATCTGAACTCCAGGTGGGACTTGAACTAGTATAAATAAATACTAGTTAATATGTTTCTTTTTCTTGCTGCTTTTTTGTATTTTATTTAATATCTTCTTTCTCTTTTGTAGACTTTATGTTTTGTTAATAATAAAGGTGAAAATGGAAATCAGAATTGAAATCTGAACTCTGGGTAGCTTGGAACTGGTATAAATAAGTATCAGTTAATATGTTTCTTTTTTTTGCTACTTTATTTAGGAAATGCCTATTTCTATCATGGAAATTTACTATTTTCACCATTTGTTATAATTTATCATAACAATATTTGCCATGTATATATTGCTAAAAGTCACATGGTGAAAATAGTAAATTTCTATGGTGGAAATAAGCACTTCTTTTATTTAATAACTTTTTTCTCTTTTGTGAGTTTTATGTTTTGTCGATGAAGGTGAAAATAGAAATTGGAATTAAGATCTAAATCTCAGGTAGCTTGGAACTGGTATAAGTACCAGTTAATATGTTTCTTTTTCTTGCTGCTTTTTTGTATTTTATTTAATACCTTTTTTCTCTTTTGTAGATTTTATATTTTATTGACAATGAAGGTAAATGGAAGTTGAAATTGAGATCTGAGCCCTGGGTGGCTTGGAACTAGTATAAATAAGTACCAGTTAATATTTTTCTTTTTCTTGTTGCTTTTTTGTATTTTATTTAGGGAATTGATATTTCTACACCCTTTTTTGATAATGCCACACCCCTGTAGATCATTTTAATTTTTTAATTTTTTTTTAACTTTGATCGAAGATATCTCGGCACTTATCTGTCCAAATTCGATTAACTTTTTTTTTTTGAATTCTACGGCTTTCTACAATTAAAATAAAAAAAAGTTGATTGAATTTGGTCAGGTGGGTGCCAAGATATCTTCAATCAAATATTTTGTAAAAATCAAAACATCTATTAAATATAAGCTGTGGCAAAATTGTTTACAAACTTTGATTGAAGTTATCTCGACATCTATCTGACCAAATTCGATCAATATTTTTTTATTTTAATTGTAGAAAGCCTTAGAATTCAAAGAAAAAAAAGTTAATCGAATTTGGTCAGATGGGAGCCGAGATATCTTTGA